ACCTGTTAGGCTTGGTCCGGGGGCTGCCTGTGGGTCCTGCTGATCCTGTCCTGCATGTCCTCTCCTTGCGTGGTACTGCAGGTTGGGACTGTGGCGGGGCATGGGACAGCACGGCGCTTGCTCCCTGTCCCCTAGGGAGCAGCTGGCCCTTGCTGCACGAGGAACCAGGACACGCAATGGAGAAGGATGCTGTACTTGGGCAGGGATTTGGTCTTGCTCCTTTGAGACAAATCTGCTGCTTTGGGCTGTGCGTTGCAGGGTTAGCGAGAAATGGTAGTTACTGTATGTTAATGTATGCATTTTCACTGTCTGCTGCTTAATTAGTGTGTGTAGGCTGTAATTGGCTCCTCCCTTTTAAAAGCTCCGTGTGTGCAGCGCTGGCTCAGCAGAGCACTTCCTCCCAAGGACGAGCATGTGAAACGGTGCACGGAGAGATGTCCCCTCACAGCCTCATCCAAGTCCTGGAAACCTTCTGCAGATTCCACGTGAACCCTCTGCTCAGCATCGCACCCTGAAGCGCTCAAGCCACACAGAGCTTCCTCAGGCGAAAGATGTCCTCGCAGCTGGGATCAGGGCACTGGGCAAGCAGTGTGGGTCACATCCCCCGTTTGGGAGGGTGCCCATGAGGCTCCAGGAGTTACTCTGTCTCTGCAGTTCCAGCCCAGTGAAGCACCAGCAAAAGCCCAGCAGATGCAAGTTCTCCTCCTGCTCCGTACATGTTTCATTAGGTCGGTGAAGGCTGCAGAATTCCTTTGTAATTTTCAAAAGAGGCCTTTTAATAAGGCCTGGCTGAATAATGCCACGTCCACATCTCTTCACTTAAAGCCCAGTGTGTCTGGGCACCCAACCAGGCTGATTCACCTACAGTCTCTGGGCTGGGAGTTAAACTTTAATATGAACAAGAGGAGAAGAACCCAGGTGTGACTCAGCCGCCCACATCCTTCCCTTTCCCCTCCCCGCAGGCAGCAGGCCAGGGAGCAGGGACGCAGCAGTGAGAACCTGAGACCCAGGGACTCCCCCAGCGATGCAGCCTGCTGACCCACGGGGGAAAAGAGTCGCCGTTGTGGGCGGTGGTCTGGTAGGAAATGCGATTTGGCCGCTGTGCGCTTGCGCTTGCTGGGGAGCCAGGGCTGCAAAAGCATTGCTTGAATGTGGGGTGAATATTTTTGTTAAAGTCGTTCCTCCTTCAGCTGATGGGGTGTTTTGAGGAGGTGGTTGTGTTCCCACTGTGGGAGGCAGCAAGGCTCGGTTCGACAG